GAAAGAAATTAAAGGAGGAAGGGAGGAAGGATTTATTTTGTTTTATTTTTTTAGTTTAGGGTTTCTGAGGACTCAGGGCCCGTGTAAGCAGTACACCATGGCAGTGGAGGCCAGTTTCCTCCAGGAGAGGTCATTTGCTTCCAGCTCTTGCCGCATACACAGAGGGCGTGGTATAAGAATGGGACTGAGGTCATGACACAAACAGCGTGCAGGACACAGAGGAAGTCACCTGACTGGCGTGTTGCCTCCGGTCAAGAAATTCTGAGAGTGCATGTGCAGGGCCCTTCCATAGCATCCTTAGAGGTCATAGCATCCTTAGAGGTCAGCATTGCAGACCCCACGAGGAGGCAATCCTCATATTTAGTACTTGCCTCCGGAGCTTGCAGGTGGAGGGTACAATCACCAGGCACGCACTGGTTTCTTCTGTTCATGTTCTTGCCTGCATAACTCTGGGATCATCCTTTCGAGGGGAGTCTTGATGACTTGCACCTGATTCTATCTTCTTGCAGCGAGCCAAGATTTTGGCATGTGCTGGGTTGCTCATTCCCTTATTTATGGCCATGACATTGGCATTCCAGGAAGACAGTGCCACGCGATGAGCAGATTCAAGCATTTCTTCCGACTCACCGTCGGCAGTGCTGGGGTAACAGCCGAAGCTCATCCATGAGCATTGCCACAAACTGAAGCATTCTCGTGGGCGTTGACGCCAGCTTCAGTACTTTCCGTGAAATCTCCTAACAGCCCTGTGGTCAGAACTATTGCTACTTCTGTACTGTAGATGATAAAGTTTTGGTCCTAAGAGGTCATGACTTTCCCAAGAGTGCATTACCTGTGTGTGGCAGAACTGGGATCCAACTCCAGGGAGTTTAGATCGAGACCCTGCACTGTTAATCTTTACCTCCCAGTTTTAACACATTCTGCTGAACCTAACTGGGCCAGGGTTACTGTAGCCAACATTACCAACGGCAGAGCAGGCTAGGAAACATTTAGTTTCCTGAAAGTGTTATAGTAAGCTCCATATGAGTTACATTTTCAGCAAGAGAGCCTATTATCTCCATATAGATGGAGAAAGGAATTTTGAATGGAAAGGTAAGTTTTTCATCTCTGTATTTTTCAGTGTCAAAAGGGACACCAAGTTTTGAAGAAGGCAGTGCTCTGCAACGTGACTCTGCTCACCTGGGAATCTGATTTGCCTTCAAAGCCAGTCTTGAATGGCTGGTCAGTGGCAGGCTGGCTTAGAGTCTGGACTCTGCTCTGAGTAACTCATTGGGGGTTGTAGGGGAAGCCAGTGGTAGACATTGATCTGCTTCAGCCATTCTATTAATGGGCTGCAGGGGAAACAGGGCATCCAACTTCAGGGGGGTCAAGGAGAAGGCTACCGGTGGAGGTGAGGATGAATTCTAGGCAAGGTCAGAGTAGGGGGTTGAGAAGGAGGAGTGTCAGAACATGAGAACTAACAGGGCTTGGCATGTAGCTGGATCCTGGGGTGGCAAAAGCAGATGCTGACAGTTTTACAATTAGGAGACCATTTTAAAGGAGAGATTTAGATCCACTGAAGTTTAGGGGAGATGGGGGCACTGAGTTGCAATGGCTAGTAGGCAATGTAAAGTATCTCAGGCTTACGACTGAGTCGAGAGGCAGGGTCACAGCAGTGAGAATCAAGGAAGGTTGTAACAGGACTGAGAACCAAGAGATGGTGTCAGCATCACCAGGTTGAAGGAGGAAGCCAGTCCGCGGGGCCTGGAAGCAAGACCACAGGAAACACTTGAGAGTATAGTCAGGACTTTCCAAAAGAGAAGAGCCGAGAGAGAGAGAGAGACAGAGAGAGAGAGAGAGACAGAGAGAGAGAGAGAGACAGAGAGAGAGACAGAGAGAGAAAGAGACAGAGACACAGAGAGACAGAGACACAGAGACAGAGACACAGAGAGAGAGAGACAGAGACAGAGAGTTTGAGTGTATGTGAGTGTGTGTATGTACCTACACAAACACACACATATAGAGACATTTATTAATTATAAGGAGTTGGCTCACATAATTATGGAGGCTGAGAAGTTCCAAGCTCAGGAGTGGGCAAGCAGGAGTCCAAGGAGAGCCAAGGAAGGCCTGAGTATCAGGAGAACTGAGAGTAACCTTCAGTTCACAAGCAGGCAGACTCAAGAACCAAGAAATGCTAATGTTTCTGTCCAAGTTCAAAGGCTTAAAAATACCAAATAATTGCTCAAGGAGGATTTCCTTACTCAGCCTTTTTGATCCCTTTAGGCCTTCAGCTGATTGGATAAGGGCCCCATGCTAGGGAGGGCAATGTGCTGGGCTCAGTTTATCAACTCAAATGTTAACTTGAATCCAGAACACTCTCACAGACACACACTATGGCCCAGGGAAGTTGACACATAACATTAGTCTCCAACGTACCATGAAATCATCTTGTTGGGGTTAAAGAAGTGTGGTTTAGATAAAAGAAAAGAGGAAGACCACAAACCACCTACTTGAGAGCATTGGCGGCTAGAGGGAGACAATCTGGCACATATCTCAAGAGTCAGCAGGGCCAGCTAACATTTCTCTAAACGAAAAGGGCCATCTAACTTGACTCTTCTCTTCTAATCCATAAGACACTTATTCGGGCATTCTTTCCCCCTTAGAAGATGATTAGATTGAATGTGGAATGTTCCATCTTAATCGTATTTGCCCAGAGGTAAGTTCAAGGTGGTTTGCAGTTTTGGCAGGCACGCCAACATTGGCAGAAGCAGGTGGTGGAGATGCTGCAGGACCAAGGAGACCGTGAGCTGGTCATCTGTGCTGTGGATAAAGGTGCATGGAGCCACTATACAGGCCATCATAGGAGCTGCCCTCTGCTACCTGTGGGTTTCTTGCTAGCTTTCCAGCTGGCCTAGTGTTTAAGCAAATTCAGGGAGCTACAGCTTTCAGACAGTGATGCCACATGGAGCAGCACCAGACAAGGGAAGCTGAAGTTTGGTCTCTTAGTCTGGGCAGCTGGTGCATAGGGGCATGTCCTTGCTTCTGTGTGTGTTTGACGGGGAGGTGGAGGTGGAGAGGGAGAGGAGAGCTAGGTAGGAAGATAGATAGATAGATAGATAGATAGATAGAGAGAGAGAGAGAGAGAGAGAGAGAGAGAGAGAGAGAGAGAGAGAGAGAGAGAGAGAGAGAAAGAGAGAGAGAGAAAGAATGGAGAAATAGAAACCCCGAGAAGCCTCAGGGAACGGGATGCAGTCCTTTTGAACCTACAGACTACTTTCTAGAATGCTGGTTTTTCTTATGGTGTCACAGTCTTCTGGCCTTTGCTGAGGAAGATCCTGTTTCTATTTCCAGTAGAGACTCATTGGAAGATTTCAATGATATTTGACGCATATTTTCATTATATACTGTGATTATATGTGCAATATAACACACAGTGACATGTCTTTCCTCAGTGTGTTTATAATTGATCACACTCAAGTTAATGAGCGCTTATTGAGCATCCATGTGTTCAGGATTAGGTCAAGTACCATGGGGCATATCACAAATATAGGAGAATATTACTGATTCTTAGGTTGACCACACACAAGCTGGACAAAACAAGGATGCTACACTATAGGTGACAGTTAATTACCCTGGCTCTGCTGGCTGTCTTCGGTACCTATAGGAGACTGAGAGGCAGGTGTACATGTTCCTGTCTGCTTCATTCTCACTCCAGTGTCTGTGGGTTCTGTCCCCCCACCAGAGTCCTCACTGGCCCAGCAGACACTGGGGTTCTGGTTGTCCCTTCTGTCCGAAGGCCAGGAACAGCATCTTGCTGCGGTGGCCCAAGGCTTTTTCCCATGCCTTCCCTCTTCCTCCTTCCACTCCTCTGTTAGTGGCTCCCTCCCTGGATTCTCTTCATCTGCACCTTTATGGGCGAGTTGTTTCCCATGGGGGACCCGACTGAACCTTACCGAGTAGTAGGGAGGGGTCCCTTTGTTTACTGGTAGAGATGCCAAGGTGCCAACCAGAACAAATACTTGTTTGACAGAGGACTGGCTTTCACCAGCAGAAGAGGAGGAGGAGGAGGAGCTTTGAAAGCAGCCAGCCACATAGAGAGAAGAAAAGGCGAGGGCTTGAAGTGAACAAGCTGGCGTTTGGTGCAGACAAACCCGATCTGTGCAGCTAATTCTTAGACTCCAAGAAGTTAAAACAGTCCTTCCTAGAGGCTTGAGCTTCCTGTCCTGTCACTTGTTTGAAAAGAGAGCTACATCAAAACTCTTGGCGTCAGAATTCCCTAGAACCCAAACTTCACAGCTCGGCCCTGCTGGGGGAATCACAGATCCTCAATTAGGAGGTAGCGTGAGGCTGAGCAGGGAGCTCCCTCCTGCTTTAATTACTTCTGGCATAATGTTCTTTTTCAAGATTTGCTAATTGAAATTAAACAGCTGCCGCGTTCGGACAGGGACAACAAAGATCTCCTGCTCCAGCCTTCTCTGATTTCGCAGGGATTGACAGGCTGTGAAGAAACCCGGGGCAATCTTCCGCTTACAGCCGCCCGGTCACCCAGTGGTTGACTCAGAGTAAAACAAAGAGCATTGAGGAGACATAGTCTTTATTGTTATAGCTGGGGGTCCACGGGACAAACGGCATTTTCAGTTAGTATCATGGACACGTTCGTGAAAATGCTCAGTAGCCAACACTGGTAGTCCAAGCATCTTAGTTGTGTTTTCTGTTGCTATGGTAACATGCCCTGAGAAAAGCAGCTTAAGGGAGAAAGGGGTTATTTTGGTTCACAGTCCATCATAGCAGGGACTCCCTGGTGACAGGAACTTGAGGCAGCTGATCACAATGCACCCACAGCCAGGAAACAGAACGATGAAAGCCATGCTCAGCTGGCTTCCTCCTTTTTATATAGTTCAGGATCTCAGCTCAGGGAATGGTGCCACCCATGATGGGTGGTCTTCTTCCCTCAAATAACCTTATTAAGATAATCCCTCATAGGCCTGTCCAGAGGCTAACCTAGTCAAAACAATCCCTTACAGGTATGCCTGGAAGCTTGTCTCCTAGGTGATCCCAGAGCTCATCGAGTTGACTGTGAACACTAATCATCACACCAAACCACCAAGACACCTGTTTCTACCTGCGGTAAGTGACTAGAAACAATCGCAGTGGGGGAATTCCTGCAAGTGATTCTTTGCAAACTAAGTTCTCTTCTAGGCAGTTAATATTGGTACAGGGCAGTTTTGTCACCCCAGGAGCTAGATAGTAGTAAAAGGTGCTCAATGCACTTAAGGGCACACCAGTCATGTTCACAAGTTGTCTTTTCAGTTCCTAAAGCAGCATGGTGACTCAGGCCTTAGCTGGCAATTTTGAGCCAGGAGTCTTGTGTTTGCTTGGGGCTTCAGTAGAGAGCTCTGTGCCTTGGTTTCCTCAAATTTCCAATGAAAATAATGAGAAATAATTTAAGTAAGCCAGAGATAATCAACGCAGGTAAGTACACTGATTTCCTTGGAGAAGAAGTTCAGCCTTTGTCAGGAAATAACGTTTATTAATTTGAATAAAAGCAATGAAACCCTGTGGGTTAAACACGCAGGAGAATGGATCCTTGGATAATGATAATGTCAGGTATGGGAACCACGAAGAACCGAAACAAAGGCTCGTACTAGGCAGAGTTCGTCAGTGCGGGGGAGGGTTACCTCACATTGTAAATTCTCTTCGCTAATAGCATAGAAGGGGGAAATCATTCGGAATCAGAGAAGACTTTCTGGATCACCCTAAAAGCCAGTGTCCTACCTTATTTTGACTTAGTTTTCTTTATGGCTGTCTGTCTTTTTGTTTCTCTTTTGTTCGAATGTCTGTCTGTCTGCTTATGCTTATCCTTGCCGATGAGTCTGGTAGCTCAAGAGAGAAGAGGCTGTGTCTGTTCACCCTCAACTCCTCAATGCCCAAAGACATACTTGACACATTATAGATATTCAATCAGTGTTTACTGAATGCATTTAATAGCAATATTATAATTTAACAATGATATTGATATTCAGCATTGAAGTACTTTGATCCTCACAAATCTTTGTATAGAGAGTGTCTTGGGTATCTACTAAATAATCTAACTTTCTTCTTCCTCTTCCTCCTCTTCCCGTTCTCCTTGAAGGAAGCAAGACCACTTTATTTGGAGGAGGGCAATAGTGTAGGTCAGAGATGAGAGGGCCACTTGAGTGAGCATCCTCAAGGCTTCCTCTTTGTTTATGAGAGAGGATCTTGTACAGATGCCAGGGTAGCCCTGAGCTTTTGCTCTCTCTGTCTCAGCTTCTCAGGATTATGGGTATACACTACCATGCTCATCTCTAAATGTTCTAATTTTCTAAAAAAAACATACTTTATGGAAATGGCAGTGGAATTGAAAAGAGAAGCAAGATTTCTCCCTCCAGGCAGAAGATCAGGCATTTCTGCATTGGAGAAACTGGATGGCGCCAGGGACTAGGTTCCCCACACCAGCGTTCTCTGTCTGGCAAGCCCCAGGTGGAGCCCATTCCATTAGCTGGCAAGTCCCATTCCACTCCAAAGAAAATACACCTTGCTAAGAATCTCCTATTTAAATAGAGTGACAGACAAAGATATGAGCAAAAAATCCTCTAAAATAAAAGGAAGAAATGAAAATTGTCAGAAAAAAAAATGAAGGAAGAGAAATATGAACCCTAAAAAGCAATAATGTCTGCATCTTTGGGGGTCTGGGAAGGCGCTATGCGAAGGTATCTCTAGGAGTCTGGGAAGGCAACTCTAGGGGTCTGGGAAGGCGACTCTAGGGGTCTGGGAAGGTGACTCTAGGGGTCTGGGAAGGCGACTCTAGGGGTCTGGGAAGGTGACTCTAGGGGTCTGGGAAGGCACTGTATGAAGGTAGTAGTAAGAGAGTGAGAAAGGACTCTCAGAATTTACAAACAGATTTGCTGAAGTGCGAATGTGGTGGGAGCAGTAGAGGGTAACATCAAGGCAATCTCCCAGAAATTACGGGAAAAAGAGAAAAATAAGAAACACAGAGGACAAATCTGATTATTAGCCATCAGAAATCAATGGTCCACGCTCCTTAAGCTGAGAGTGCACTTTGAATTTGTAAATAGTACATGAAAAAAACAAAACAACATAGACCATATGTGGTCCACAAGCCTGGCATGTTTGACTCTTTACAAAATCATTTCCTTAATCTTGATATAGAAGGCTCAGTATCCAACCTATAGGAATTCTAAGAAAAAGAAACTACTAAGGGAAATATTCAAGAATATCCCCCAAATCTAAGGACATGAACTTTACACTTAAAATCTGTAAAGAAGCCTAGAGCTTGGCTCCTAGAACGCAGAACTCATGAACACCTTTAATTCCAGCTCTAGGGGATCCAACATCCTCTTCTGGCCTCTGCAGGAACATATATGCACATGTACATGCACATACACCCTACACCCCATAAACATACATAAAAATTATGTAAATTTTGAAAATCTACAAGGAATATCCAGTTCAAAGAACATCACTGTGAAATTTCAGAACATCTGGGATAAGGAGGAGATTCTGAAAATATCCAGAGGAGCTGAGAAGCAGGTCACTTACAAATGAGAACTTGAACATCTTAGTAGATCGAGAAAAACAGAGCCACAGCCAGAGGGACGGCTTGGCAGGCAAAGGTGGTTGTGGCCAATCCCAATAATTGAGATCAGTCTCTGGGACCCACATAGCGAAGAGAGAACCAACCTCCCACAAGTTGTCCTTTGACTTACATACATACATACATACATACACGCGTACGTACATACATACATACACACACACATACACATACAATGTAATAATGAAAATAATTTAAAAGAAAATTGAAGGGAATCCCCAGAGTGCTGGCTAAGAGCCAAACTGGAGATTAGAGCAAAAGAAAGGCAAGGAGCTCTGAGAAAAATTAAAAGGGTCTAATGAACATCTTCTGAAATAGTTATCAACGATCTTAGACTAGCAGTCACACTGTGTACCACTCTCCCTCTGGAGCTGCACCTAGTAATTTGCTTAAAATAATTAGAATGTGGTAAAAAAAAAAAGATGATACATTGATTTCACAGTGAAAGTTTAAGAGATTGTAGCATTTTCTGTTTCGTTCCCTCTTGCTTGCTCAGATAAAAGCCAGCTGCTATGTTATGAGAAGCCTTGTGGAGAGACCCATGGAGCAAGAAAGTGAGGGACCTCCCCCCCCCCCCCCCCCCCCCCGCAAATCCTGGGAGGAAGTGAGTTCTGCTAACAACTATTCTGATGGCCTTGGAAGCAGATCCTGCCCGTCAGGAACTGAGTCTCCTCTAGCTCTGGATGACATCTTAGTTGCAGTCAGAGGATTCTGAGTTGGAGGATCCGTCCAGCCCAAGTTTGATTCTTTTTGATATGGGAATGGCGAGTTAATAAATGCTAACTGTGTTAAAAACGCAAGGTTTCAGAGCAACTTGTTATACAGCCATGCACAGAGCAATAGGAAGGAGTCACGTAAAAATGTGACTGACATAATAGAACATTTCGGGACAAGGTCAAACATAAGCAGGTAGGAAATTTTGTACATAAATAAAAAGCTACTGGAAAGTCGGAGAAGTTTCCGAAGTTGTGCTGGACAGATAATGCCATCATTGTTTTCAACTAAGCGTCACAACGGACAGTCTGAACATAATTAAAAAGACACTATTATAATAGGAAGTCACTGGATCATTTCTAACACTGTAGAAAAAATGACCAGTTTAGAGACATTATTCTAAGTATGAAGGAAGCGGTCAGTAGGTCCAGCCAGAAGGGTTGTGAGTGGCTGTCCTGATGGGGCAGAGCCAGAGTAGCATGGAGAAGGCGGTGGACAGGAAATTTGTCTCTTTTTAAGTCTTGCTACTATTGACCAACCTAATCTCACGTCTATTACTTTGATGTCAACCTGGCCCCCTACAGTGACATGGGAACATCAATAAATGCTACAATAACTAAAAGTTTTAGTATCAAATATGAAATTTAATGTCAAATTTAGATCAAGAAAATGAATGTTTCTGGAAGTCAGAAATGAAGCTATTTCATAGCACATGAGCATAAATGGAGGAAAATTTATGCCTTATGGGCATGGGTTTAACCACAGGCTGCCTGCCTCAGAACCATGAGCATAAGAAGCCAGTCTTTCTAGGTGTAGATGCAGATATGTACACAGATTCCCTTACCAACCATGTTGTCTTAAAATCGAGGCCGAACACTATCATGAAACTGGTCTGGAACTATTGAGTTCTGGAAAGTTCAGATAGTATGGACCATAAAGACACACTCATACTCAGGGACTAGGTAGGATCCTCCAGTGAACTGGATAACTGTGAGAGATGGTTAACAAGTACACCAAGAAGAAATCATACCAAATAACAAGTAGTAATTATAGGAATGCTGAATGGGCTTTAATAATGTGCTCAAAAGTTTCAAAGAGGTGATGAAGGGTAAGGTTAGTTCATCATAAAAAAGAAAATGCCAACATATGTTCAAGAATATATATATATCCCAGAGGTGAAAACTGGTCATTGAAATATATCCTCATGGTGAGATTAGGCATGGCTGAAACAAGAATGAGCAAACAGGAAGACAGACCAGAGGAAACAGCCCAGAGAGACAGATGCAAAACACAGAAGAGAAACAATGAGAAATTTCAGAATAAAAATCTCCAGCATCTACTGAATAGAAATTCCAGAAAAAGAAAGCAGAGAATGAAGAAGCTCTATTTGAGGAAAGAGAATAGAAATTACAAACAAGAGGGTATGAGCCTTAGGACAGGATCTTTCTGTTTTGTTTTGTTGTTGACTTTCTGAGATAGGGTCTCTCAGCATAGCCCTGGGTGTCCTGGAACTCACTATGTAGAACAGGCTGGCCTTGAACTACAGAGATCTGCCTGCTTCTGTCTCTCGAGTAAGGGGATTAAATGTGTGTGCCACCACATCTGGCATTAGAACAGGATCTTAACTGCTGAAAGAAAGATGATAGATGACAGATAGATAGATAGATAGATAGATAGATAGATAGTTAGATAGATAGACAGATAGAAAGAAGATAAACAGACAGACGGATGGATGGATGGATGGACAGATGGACAGACAGACGGGTGGATGGACAGA